TAAAAAAAAACTAACACACGTTTTTTCTTGGACGAAAAAACCCTATTGAATTTTTTTATTACTAACGGTTTTTAAAGCGTTTTCTATATTAATTTTTATATAAACTTAGGTGAATAAAGAAAAACTAAATCTTTTCAAACTTGTTACATAAGTTTTCTAGACAAAATATTCAATTTACCAAAATATGAATTAATTAAATAAGAATTAATTTTGTTCTTTAGATAGTTACAACCCACAAAATCGGAATCTCAAAAGATTAAAGGTAATAATTTATTATTACAATGAAAACTTTACTAGTCATGTTGCTGTGACTACAGTTTGTTACTGACGTACTTGACTTCTAATTACGAAACTAGATTCAACATTTTGACATATAAGTATTCCTTGGTTGCCGAAAATTTGGAATATATCTATCGAGGGAAAGACGAAGAGTAAGACGAAGGAGGAGAGGAGAAAGTCGGCATGGTAAACGAGGTCGAGTGTTGGCAGCGTATAATTTCGATGACAAGCAAAGGGGTGGTTATCTCTCGTTGCTTCTCACCCTCTTTGCCACGGACTGCGAGTGGTGAGCCACCCCCGCGTGATTGTATTAATTCAAGCCGTCCCCTCCGCCTCCCCCGGCTTCCCATTTACACCTCACTCTCCCTTCTGTTCTGCCTCTTCCTCGCGTCTCACCCTCCCTCTCTTCGGACCCCGTGTCGACGTCACCCCTCCCGAAGCACAACTTCCGGGGACAAACGAAGCGTGTCGGCGTCGCGTATAATGAAGCGCGCTCGTTCGTTTCCTCGGCGTTTTCTTGTTACCCGTTTTCGTGTCCCGCGCAAAGATGCCCGTGTCGGCGCCTAAATCTAAATTCCGACGATTCTGAGATTCGTGAAGGTATAATAATAGCGCTAAAAGACGAGTTCAGAATTTTAGAAAGCTGAAAAATAAAGAAAAATGTTTCCAACGTATCGTTGCAAAGTCATGGATAGTTAACACTGGTTGTGAATTGTATAGCGTGGAATTAATTATTATGTAGCAGGAAAATTAATTATTAAATTTCAGCAAATTATAGGTCTTGAAATATAAAGGAATAAAAAATAAAACTTTCTACAGTTTCTACGTTTGTGCTCCGATATTTGCGGAATTGGTTGCGAACACCAATGCGTGATATTCGTCTGTCATTACACGAGGAAAGTATCGGCAGCTGTGTGTGTGTGTGTGTGGACAGATCGTGTCCATTGTCATTGGCGCAATATGCGTTATCTCGCCGGTGAGAGTGGATATCGTCTCGTAGGGGGAGGGAGTTACGACTGGTGCACGTGCGGAGGGATGGTCGTCGGGCGCGTGAAGTGTTCGAAAAGACGGGAGTGGATGATCGTCGTTCGTGAAAGATCGAAGTAGAAGAGGTGGGTGGGAAAGGGGTACCAAGCCGTTTAGCGATATTTCACGGGGTTCTCGGCTCTCGTAAGGGTTTCCAGCGGCGCACGGTATTACTGGAGGCAGTCTTGCAGACTCGAGATAAGGGAAGCCCGGTTCTCCGTTTCCGACGGCGACTAAGGCGCTCGTTCCTCTTCTCCATCTTAGCCTCGCAACACGAGAGTGTGGAGGAAACCGGCGAAAGGAAAGCCGCGAGCAAACCCCTTCTGGTTGCTACGCAGTGTCCCTTTTCCTCCTCCCTCCTTCATCTCAGGTCCCCTTGCTCCCCTCCCCCCGTCACCGTAAACTCGGTTAATATCTGCTTATCCTGTCTTACCATCCGTCTTCTTAGACCGTTTCGCTTCCTACGCGGCTTCCTTCTATTCGCCGTGTTAGTTCCTGCGAAGTATCGCGAACTTGCCAACGTTGACGACGCGACGCCGCGGAATATCCGCAGAACGTGAAGACGCGCGTGTGTCTTCAAAGACACGCGGGTACACTTGGCTATTTGTAGGAATTTACTATACGCAATCGCAAAAACGTCCTACAAATAATATTTCATTATAAATATAAAAGGAAATAACTAATTAGTGTAAGGACGGTCAATTTTCGAGCAATAAAAAGATGTTAGAAAATGAATTTAGAGCTAATGTTTATTAAATTAAAATAATTAGTTTACGTTTCGAGCCATACTTAGTATTCTTTAGAACGACAAAAATAATGTACACGACAATTCATATTATAAAGATAGAAACATATAAATTACAATCTATTGAAAAAAGAAGAGATAATAACCGACATAGAGTTTACATTTGAAGTGATGGAATAAATATAGTCAAAAAACAATGTTACAGTCAAACATAATAAGTGAAAAATAAGTCGTTAATTAAAAATAATATAAATAGCTATTGCTTTAAATGTAAGTAATTTCTTATTTTGTAGAAGGAAATAAATAATCTTTATAAAAAAATTATCCTTATAAAATTAAAAAGAATTTAAGAATTTCACATAAAAAATTTATTTGTACAAAACTAAAATTTTTGCTATTTATATGTATTTACTACAACTACGAATAAGTTCTAAATCTGATTTTTACCATTATAGGTATAATGAGAAGTCAAATAAATATATAGGAAAATAAATAATAAAATAATTTTTGGAAGAAAAAATCTAAAAATCTGAGAAATACTGAGAAATTTCTTTGTATATAAAATCACGAAGTATCAAGTTTTTATTATTTACTTGTATTTGCTATATGCAACCACAAATACGTATTAAAATAATAATGAATAATGTTTCATTATAAATATAAGGAAAAATAAATAACTATATAAATAAAAAATCTAAAAATCTCATATCAGTCATTATTGAAATTTCTCAAGACTATTTTGATAAAGATTACAAAATTTGATATTTGAAGATTTTGATATTCGTACGTGTACAATTTTGTACAATAAGTAGAAATTTTAAAATCCTCCTTAATCGCCATATTCTCTTCGAGAATTAATAATTAAGGAGGAGGATTTTTTGGGATTTCTACTTATTGTACAAAATCATATCTCTAAGTATTAAATTTATCTTTATCTATTATCAGTTTGCAAAAAAATCTGATTATATATTGCAATGGAAAGATTCTTATATATAACTATGTCATTTTTTGTATGTTTTTTTTCATAGCAAAATAAAGTTTTAATATCAGTCTTTTAATATCGGAATATATATGCCTCCAGCATCCTCCCTGATAATGAGGGAGTTAATAATTATCTGCTTTTGTAAAAAATATACTTTCTCCGCTAGCAAAACGGGGGAAACTTGGAATGAGGCGCTCAACGGCGATCCTGCCTCTCTCGGTTTAGCAATTAGCTGCTGTTTAAGTGCACGTGCGCTCGTGTGGTCGGTTAATCTCCGCAATTCCGCGCGGGGACTTCGTTTCGTTCCAATTAGAAAGGAAAATCTCAGTAACGATTTCTCGGTTGGTCGGTCGTTACTTATTTCTAAAAGGGACACGCACGTGTTCGTTCAATTTCGCCCCGGTACTTCCACGTACTTTCGCGATCGCTATTGCATGTTTCAACAGGTGTAACAATTCATACAAATACGTATGCCGGGTGTTCCTAAACGACCGGATAATATTTCATGTTCTTTGATGGATTTACGATCGATCCTTCCTAGGAAGAATGCTAAGTGATTGTCATTGGAAACGAGTTTTTAATATTTGAAGCTTGTTATCAATACCGATGGAATAAAAATATTTATTATTCACTATACCTATTATTTCTATTATTTATTAATTTACACGCGGTATTTTTAATTTATTTTGCATATCACATAAGTAAAAAAATCTACGCATCTTGTGGATACTATTTTAATATATTAAGCACATACATAATTCACGGTATAAGATAATCGATCTTCATACAATATATTTTTAGGCGTGTCGCAAGATAATAAGTTCTGGAATAATTTGTTTGGATACTTGGAATTATTTCGGTGAATTTAGTGCTCGGCGATCGGCGTGCGGCGCTTTCGCGATTCGCGCAATACTTTGAGCATCGCGGCATTCTTGGCAACTCATCGATATAATTATTAAACGGAACGTTTTCTCTCGGGGGCTGGCCGGCGAGGGTAGCACGGCGAGGGAAGCCGACGACGGGTTCGGTGGAGTCCCACACCACACCCGGTGTATCCTCCGGTAATGAACGCAGCCACCTTGAACTGGCAAACGGATGAGCGGCCAGGCATAGGGAGTCTGTAAGAGCGAATCTGAGAGAGAGAAAGAGAGGACGGTCTCCCCGAAGAGTGACGGGGGACACGGTAGGTTAGGACGTAGGGGAGAGTGGCGGCGGGGGAAGCGGTAGCCACTAAAAGGGGTTGTCCTCTATGTGATGAAAGCACCCTTCCGTGTCCCGCTGAGACTCTCTCTTCGCGCCGTCACCGCCGCCGCCGCCACTGCCCATGCCGCCACCGCCTCTGCTTTGGTTCCTTTTCCTATGGCTAGAGAGAGAAAGAGAATGCCCTTGTCCTCTTTCTCTTTCTTTCTCTCTCTCTCTCTCTCGTCGTTTGCGCAACGTCGTCCCCCTGGCCTTCACGTGCACCCACACGACTGTACATTCGCCGTGTCGATACGTGTCTGCCAGTTTCCACGTGTCTCTGCCTCTCTCTCTCCCTTCCTCTCTCTTTATCATCATGTGTCCCACGTGTGTGTGCGTGATAAGCCCAGCAGCAGCAGCAGCAGCCATTGACGCCTCGGTGATCTGACGCGATTATACGTCGCGCTTCTCTCGCCGTATTCCCTCTTTTCTCTCTCCTTTTTTCTGGCTCTCTTCGCTTTTTGTCCCTCACGAGCTTCACGCCTTTTTCGCGGTTTTTCCAGCCGCCTCGCCGCCGTCGTCGCTGTCGCCACTACCGCGCCACCACTGCCGTCGCCGCCACCGCAGCTGCCGTGATTAGGCTGAATCGCGCGTAAACGATGACGGCTTTAGAGCCGTACTCGAAGACAAAAATGGAAAATGCCACGAGGCATACCGACGGTATTTTCATCGGGCTGCGGACTACGAACAGAGACTAGATTAAGATAACACCGTCGTCGCGCTCCGGCTTCAATCCCTGAAAAGAATAAAAAGTTTATCATCTCGTCGGTCTTTGTATTGACGTAAATGCGAATATTTCCAACCGTATTCATGATCAAGATTCTAGATGAGTTTGAAAGCATTATTCGACAAGCGGAAAAGCTATTTTAGTTTTTAGTCTGTCATCAGACCATCTTTAGTGTGATAAATTAAGAAAATTACATAAAGACCGGTAAAAAAACAGATATAGAAATAAAAACCGCAATATACGCATTAATCACATTAGTTCTTGTTGCAATATAAAATTCGAATCAAACACACATCCTATTCCTTCGATGTATAAATCGAGAAGTATAACTTATTAAAGTATTATTTAATAATGATGCTTCGTACCCGTATCTAAAATACTTGACGATTAAGATGAAATTAGTCGTCACAGCACACAAGGCTGCGATGAAAGCGATGGAAAACATAGAGCCGCCTAGAATCAGTCTCCATTTAAACTTGCCGTAATCTCCGTGATGCACGAGAATGTACAAGGTAACCGGGATCAACGTGGCCAATGTAGATATACATATAGCGCCGACCAAACCGGTGAACAGATCGAGCTTCGGGATCGCCGCTGCCAGAATACCTGCAAAATACAGTGATCACGCTTTATCTCGGAAAATTTCCGTTCGCCGAGCAACAACGATATACGCGTATCGATTAACGTAATTAGAGCAAATTAAAGCAAGTAACGCAGCTAGCAACGTTGTAGTAACTCTGGAGTGATCCGATCAAACGAGACTTGGACAAAATTGAGCATCTACATCGAATTCCGCGAAAGTGGATTCCTGAACTTTAGTAATATCTGGGTCCAAAGCGGACTGTAATCAGATGGATTGATCGATTCCACGAAGTTGGTCGCTTCGGGATAAGGAAAGGGAGAGGGATTCAATTCGCCGCGCACCATCGAGCTCGGCCGAGTTTACCTTCAAGTTAACGAGGGAGAGCGGAACAACGCGCGAAAGAGGTTTGAAGAGAAATTGTTGTTTACACGTAACGATGGTGATGCCAAAACGGATGATCAGATCCCACAGGAACGGTGTTCCTTTACAGGTGCCATCTTCGATGGCCGGAATGGCATAGCCGTCCTTCAGAATTTTAATGGGCATGTAACATTGCAACCCATACGTGAAGTATATTGCCAGCGCTTGCATTATCAGTGCCGCTATCGTCGGTCTAAATAGCCGATGAAACATGAGACACGTATTAGTGCAGAAAGTATTTCAAAAGTAACGAACTTTGTAGTCATATTTCTTAAACCCTTTGACCATCAATGATAGAAAAATGCGCACATTCAAGAAAATATACTTTTAATGAAACAATTAGAACAGGGCCCTAAATCTTTATGTTTTTGGGTTATTGTAGTTGATGTAATCACATTACCCGTCGTGCGTCTCATGATTACGGATAAAATTGCCAAGCGCATCGGGTCCCCACTTCAAGTAACCAATAGATCCGACGAGAATGTGTATCAAGACCAAAAATGCCATGCCCCAGTTCAGTATTCCGCACGGTTTAACATAATCCCCAGGTTTTTTCATACTATGTTCTATCGCTAGTATCTGAAAGATGCAAACATAGTAATTCGAAGCGTTATTATCGAATGACATGCGTCATTATTGAGAACAAAACCGTACGAAACGATTTTAATAAAATAGAATTAAAATAAATAAATTATAGAAAAATAAAAATGAAATAAAAACAAATTAATTATAGAAAATAGGAACTGACTTGATTTATTAGAGATTAAAGACTCACCACTCCCGGCGAACACATACTGAAGAAAACCATGCCGATAAACTTCGGATACATACTTATGTTCGGCCCGATCGTGTTCCATTTGTCGCTGATTCCGTCTTTCAAAGCGTACACGACTCCAATAAGCCCGGCGGCCAAGAGCAAAATGTTTCCGGCAATAGAAATCGGCGCGATGTCCGATAGATTCTTCAACATATTCATTACAAAAAGAAGTGGAAATATCATGAGCGCGTAGTAGCCTTGACCGATGACTTTTTCACTGTCCACGCCTTCTTGGATTATGCCGGAAATGAACACGACGTAAACCGAACCGATCCCGATGTAACACGCTAACATCGTGATATCGACGATGAGTCTACAAGCAAATGGAAACTCAAATTGCCCTGTCTCTCTAATACATTTAATACACATACAATTAGCGTATTGTATTTATCTCTTTGTAGTAAAATACCGCAGTGTATTTCCATTAAATTTAATAATTATATCTACAATTATATCTCGCCGTGTTTTAGTGTAAAGTATCGCATTGATATCATACAATATGCATTTTGCCTTGCTATAAAGGTATCCAGCGTGAAATAACGCGATTACTGATATTACGAACGTTGCAGCGCGCGGAGAGAGCCACGGTTTTCGCACATCCGTGGTTAAAGTGGCGACTACCACCTCTTCATACACCAAGACGGGTTTCCTCAGACGAATACACATCATGTGGTGAATTCTAACGAGTAACTGAAGAGACCCGGTTATCAGTAGACCCATAAACGCCGTACCGACAATCCCGATAAAGAGTCCGACGCAAGCAAACGCGTTCGGCATGGCGAAGAGACCCGTTCCGGCCGCACTTTTTATCAAGTTTGCGAGAGTTCCAAAGTCTCTGCAAAAACAAGAAATAAATCACGTAATGATGAACAAAATAATATGAGTAAATGCAAAATAATATAGGAGAGGGCGAAGAGAGGATTAAGGGATGTAATTATAAAATCTATTCTATTCTTATCTTTTTTATTATTATTCTTTTTTATGTTTTCTATCTATCTATTTCTATTAATTCGTCTCAACAGTAGATTAATATATTCGAATTATCTCTTTTTTATTTATTTATTTTTTAATATAATTGAATACATTTGGATCGATGCTTTTTTTCTAAATAAATAAGCACTTCCTGAATTCAATTATGATTTGAAAAAAGTCAATCCTTTTGTCCTCACAACTTTTGTTACCTATAATAATTTTATAAAGCTAAACGGGATTAAATCATGTCTATTTATTTTTGAAGAGATTAAAGGAAGGATTAAAAAGATCAGTGAGATAGGTACTTCTCAAGAAAAAGGTACATAAAGGTCAAGTGATTTTACAGAAGAGCACTTCAAAAGTTTTAATGCTATTTGGCGCCACAACTTCACATCCCTTGCATTGATTTATCCTCTTTTTCTTTGTTTATTTCAAATCGAGTTTACAGGTAGAAGCTGTTATCAGGTAACAAATTAAATGAAAATTGTTTATTTGCTTCGAGTCACGAGAGAACTGTGCATAACCCTATTTTTTAGACACTTAAACATATCAAAAAATTATTTTATGTAGTTTAAAATGTACAGGAAACAATCTACTTTGTAGAAATTTTAAATTATATTTTAATAAATTCAAAAGATGCATATTTCGTAAAAAATAACATTTATATTTTATAAATATAATTAATGTTGAAATAATAGTTTAAAGTAATAAACGCACGCAAATTTTATAAATATAATTCAATTATATTATATATTTTATCAAGATGTAGATCTAATAGTAAAAATTTCATTTTGACATCGTCAAAGAGAAGCAAATTAGATGCAGCATTCAATGTGTTAATACACATTAAAATTAAACAAATAGTTTGTGAAAAACAAACATACGACACTGGTTTGTAAGTGACACGATGCAAGTGAGGATTATAGACTTCCTCAGTGGTAGGCTCGCTCGGTTGTTCTTCAGCTTTTGGGTTATCCCTAAGTTATAGAAACGTCATATTAAAAGCAATTCAAGTATTTTATAATCAATGTTAATAAAGATTCTAATTGCAACTATATTTTTTGAAACTTTCCAGTTGTAATTGCCAGTTTGTGATACTATATTTTTATTAGGATTATACGCGAGATTGTATGAGTATACTTTTATTGCAAGTTATACTTTATATTTATTTGCAAGTGATATAATATTTTTTTATGTTTCTTCATATTTTTCAACCATATTAATAGATAAAGACATAATGTCATTGCGAGTCAATCATGCGATTCAAGTCAATACCGAACCAGCAGCTAGTCCCCAAATGTTACGAGATCTGTTCCTAGCTCGTTAATTCTATAAATCGGACCGAGACAGAGCTGCAATGCGCTTTGAAAAGAACTTGAAAGATTTACTTACATCTCAATCTGTCAGTCTGCACGAAAATAGGCTGTTGTGGAAACACGATTTCTCAATACCACTACCGCCTGATCGCGCGTCAATCCGTTACGATCGAATCGCTGACGCGGCCCAAGGAAAGAATCTCTCTCTCGCGTCGCAATCTTCCACGGTACGTCGACTCGTGACAGCCGTCGGCTCTCACGGCTGATTACGGCCGATTAGCCGACATTAGCATGGATTTCTCGCGCAACTAATTTTCACGGGGAGAGAACGCGCGAGCCGGGGATGGATGTGCCCGGCCGCGGTCGGGCGCCGGTATTGTGATCCTCTCGCTCGGCTGGACCGAGCTGACCGACTTAGCGCGCGCGAACGCGAGAGCTCAGTTACGGAGCTTTCCCGTGAGGGATTTAACGCCCCGCGGATCCTCACGGATTGGATAAAGGGGATCATGAACGACGTCCGCCGCTCGTGGGCTTTAACCGTGAATCCTCGCGGTTAAGGCCAACGACAAACCGCTTTCTTCTCCTCGCCCCTTCAGAGATGAAACTTTCTTGTGTCAGCAGCGTTCCGCCGGATCTGGCCGGATCCTCCCTCAGATATTTCTTTCGTCGATGTCTTTGGGTCGATCTCGCTCTTAGGGATGTACATAGAACGAGATCTGTCGGGCGAGTTAACGCGCAGATTGCTCGTGAAAAGCTGGTGCGCGAGATGTAACTCACTTACAATTTTTTATACGTGTATTTTATTTTATACTTCTTGTAATATAAGGCGCGTTACAAATATTGTAATTTTATTTATTTTATAATAAATTTTATTAAAGTGACTAAAGTAAATTTGAATTCACTTGTAAAAGATTCTTAAAGAATATCATTTAATAATGTAACTTAATTGCTAAATCAAAATTTTTTTCTCATTCCATCTTTATTTCTAAAATTTTTTTATGTATTCTGTTAAAAAAGCCCCTGATGCCCCCTTAGTATTCTTCATAATGAAGTAAACGTCGGAATAGTTTTTCGTAAATATGTCAATGCTCGTCTCTTAGCAATATTATATGTGATATTTACAGCGTATGGGATATATCTGATATTAGGAGTCTAATAAAAAAATAAAAATCTTGTTGTTTTCCCTCAAATTTAAATCCTACCAAAACTGAATTAGATTGAAACCGTTCCAAATTAGAAAGAAGCGGTTTTTGAGGAGGTTAATGGATCTCCGGTCTCCGGCGCGTTACGAGGTGGGTATATCGACCGGGGTGCGGCGGAGGGACGGTGCCGAAGGTAAAAACGTGAAAAGGGACGATAATATCGGGGACGTCCCGCGGTTCTCGACTGTGACTAAATCCGCGGTGCCCATGCAGTGTTTACACTCGAGATGATGCCTCCTAATGCTAATACGTCGCCTGGGCGCGACGCAATACGCGGCCGTATAGCCCCCGGGTCTCCCGGTTTCTTAATGCTCAATCGCAATCCAATGAAAAGTGTATGAATGGCAAGCGATTATCAAGTCGAGCGGGCGCCCTCAATGTGTCCGTCGAGGCGTCCGCGGTAACCCCGCTGCGTTAACCGACGTCGAAGCCGAGCCAAATGGTACGAATCGCCCTCTTCTGTCTCCCTCTCACGGAGAGACCCTCCCTTCTTCCTTTTCCTGCGTCGCGTCCCGGTTCTTCTCCTTTTTTTCTTTTTTCTCCGCTCGATGGACCGGTTAGCGACCCCGTAAACTCCCGTGGAACAAATTTGGAAACGCGACGCAGCACGTGGCTGGGTATCGCTGGGCGCATTCGTTGTTATTAATCGAGTCAAAGGGCAACTGCCGCGGTAATTAGCCGCGATAATGTACATTGCACAATAAACGGCGGCGCGGGCGGTTAATAGCAAAAGAAGATTGGAGACAACGGCAGATAAATGCCTCGGCACCTCTTGAACCTTTTAATGTCTAATGTACATGTTATGTCAAGATCGATGAGAATCATTGCAATGATAAATGCGGCAACGCAATATTTCTTAATGATAAAATTAATCGATTTAAAATATAACAATATGATATACTTTGTAGCTATAGCATGGAGCAAACTATGGAAATCGCGTCGGACGATATCGTGTTATATTTCATTATAATTATAATTATAATTGCTCGATTATAATTACCGTTCGATAGTGGAACGTTGCCGGAGAGAGGGAGGGGGGCGACGGGGGATTTCTCCCTTGTATCGATAATTAGCTGCCGATGGTTTTCCATGAAATATCGATAATCGTGTGTACCACTAACGAGTGCGATTTCCAATGCGGCAAAAGAGGTACCGGATATGCAGAGAGGGAGGCAACAATTGGACAGATCTAACATGTCTGACGCAAGCTTTTTCCGCATTGTTGCCGGCGGCGAGCGCGATGCGCAAAAAGCCTTTTTGTCGGCGTGTACGTCGAAAATGTGACGTTATTTATCGGAGAAACGTTCGATTCGATTCGGAGCAAACGGGTGCGGTACAAACGGCGTGGCGGGGCGAAGCAGTTTCATGCGGCGGGACGGCTCGCGGGCTCGTTGCGCGTTCGAAAAATTATTCGAGAATTTTGCCGCTGACGTTTTTGCGTTTCGCTCAGCCCCCGCGGGGACGACGTGTGTGCGCACCGGCCACGAAGAGAAGAGTATAACCTGGACCACGGTACTGCCCGTTGCAGCCGCCCCGATGGCATTCCACCGACCGATTTTGTTTGCCGACACGCCGTTTGCCCCGCGCGCCGTGCCGCGCACTGAAGGATCGTTTTTCGGAGTCACTGATTCGCGTCATATCCGGGGTTCGAGAGCCGAGAGCCTGGGCACCTCCCGCAGGGGGTACCTCGAGATTCTGCACGTGCCGCGATGAGATATCCGTCCGATCGAAAGTGCATCGCTGACCGATGCTGATATTCTCCGACGGGATGTTTGTGTTCAATTAATTTAAGCTATTAGCTAGTAGACATCTAGAAGCGACATCAGTCTTTTCGAATTAATATGTCAAAGAAATGAAACGAGTGTTTCTCGGATAATCAACTCTCGGATAATCTCTAAATCTCATAGAGCAGTTTTGCCACTAATATATTAGAGTAATTGATAGTCACTCCAAAAGAGAGGGTTGTCACTCTAAATGCGGGCAATTATAAGGTAGGAGTAAATTTTCCACTAAAATTTTTAGAGCGGCTATTCTATCGGAGTGATATGATCTCACTCTAAAGCTAGTGAATCACGAGTCACTAAAGATCGACTGATAAATAACTTTAACAGAGTGAAATTTTCTATTTATAATTGTAGAGTGAAATAATTCACTCCTATGGACGCTAATCTACTGCACTCGAAAAGAGTGCCCTTTCACTCAAATAGAGTGCGATTTCACTCCAACTTATAGAGCGCAATTTTACTCTTTCTTAGAGTGGCGAATCACTCGAAGTACACAGGCTCAATTTTCACTTTTCGTTACATTTGGATTTTATTCGTTTTAAGTGATATTTCACTCTTCGACTTTAAGAGGGAACAGAGTTCCAGGTTTAAAGATTAGAAAAATTATTCAAGTTTTCTGTTGATGAGTTCAACAGCGTGGATTTACAAGATGTCATTATGGAAATTTTTTTTTGTTAATTTAATAAAAGTCACGCACTGTAAATCTAAATATGCTATTTAACTGACACATTTGACTGAAGCTCTTTTTACATGTCTCTTCATGTGTTAAATTACGTCATTTAACATGTTTAATCGTATTAAATTAAAAGTTAATATCTACGTGTTAAATGACGTGATTTAAAACGACAAGAAATGTGTAAGAAGAGTTTCAGTTAAAATAACACATTTGGATTTGCAGCGTGAATAATTATCGAATGTGCTCTGTGGTGTGCATATCTCGATGATTTTTATCTTTCTTATTAACGCGCATCTTATAAATCTATCGTGAAATCATTTACGAAAGATTATTTATCTGATTTATGGACTTTCTCATTTATTTTCTAGCGATTTCATTGCTATAAGTCAGTTGGCCAATGTTTAACAAAGTAAGCCCTTCTTTCATCCTTTTATCCCGATTTAGTTTTGAGTATGCTCGTTAGCTCGAATACGGTCATTCGGGATAAAGAAAATGGGTGTTGCTGAGACGCGCGCGAAACAAGAACTGGCGCAGCGTCTAACACGTGCGAGAGAGTTATATAGATCGCGTCAGATGTACCGGCCGATCCTTCTATTGAACGCGTTTCAGAGTCGGACCGATCGGGGACACCCATCGAGCTCATATTCCGGAATAATTTAATGATTGTACACTCCGACTCCGGCATTGCTCCGGCGTTGCCTGTCGCCGCGGGCCGATGCTGGTTAAACGCTTCACAATTAAACACGAAATCCCGGGGTATCGATGAACGCCGCGCCGCGCGCCGGAATAACTGTCGGGAAAGTTCTAGCAACGATCTCGCCGTCGAATTTTTTAACGTGTTTAAAATGAGCCTCTGAGACACGAGTGATATGCTAAACGAGCTCGACTTTTCCGCGCAATGGAGTTCTATCGTGAACGATTTTATGCTTTGGTACTTTGTATATAAAATTTTGGAAATATATAGAAAAAAGAAGAAAGAGAGAAAAAGAAAGAAAGAAGTTAAAGATGTTGAGTAGCCGAGTTGAGGATGGAGTTGGAATAAGAAAACATCAAATCTTGTATACCAAAGCGAAGTAAAAGAAATGATTATTCTTCTTAAATAAACCTATAACTAAATATATTAATTAAATATTCTAAAATCTGAAGATTAAGCATACTTCGATATCTAATACAGAATAAAGATATTTGGCGTAACGCGGAAATTACATTTCTTAATTTGAAGAACCAATATACAAGGGATGAAATTTAGGATGTAGCCTACTTTGTGTTCTTCAGTATAAATTCCTGCATTGGATTTTGGAATATTAATTGCGTTTTCGTTTTTGTTGTATAAATCCAAGCATTTTTTCGCGTTAACGACGTTCTATAAACGCGCAGCGCGTTTTCGCGCGGCGATGACGCGCGTTTTTCGGGCGCGCGAAGCGCATTTTAGGAGTGCGCGTGATTTTAAACGGCGATGTGCACGCGTGTGTGGAGGAACGAAAAAAAAAACCGGAAACGCAAAGGGAGCGGAAGGTGGCACCGTGCGCGCAACGGCATGACGGGAGGACGGGAGACAGGGAGGGGGCTGTCGGACAGCGTTGGAACCACAAGAGTGTGAAAATGTTTTGCAATTTCGAAATCAGGCGTGCCTGCTGGTTTACGCCAAAGCGCGTTACCGGAAACCGCCAACCGGCGGGCTGCGGACAGCACCGGCATCCGCCGCAAAAGCGGATTGCGGTTTCGCTGGGTAACACGCATTAAAAACGCTCGACGCACACGCGTGAGCTCGAATGCGATACGAATCCTCTCTCGCCGTTTTTCTCTCTCTCCGTCTCTTTTCATCACGCAACAGAATAAATCTATTTATTGCTCTCTCTCTTTTTCTCCCTCGTCCTTTCTGTCTCTCTTTCAGAGACTGCCATGTTCTACACGCCGCGGCCGATCCGATCGCCTGTGTTCGCGCACGATCTGCTGGAAAAAAAAACAATACGGATTAACGCTCCCGCGTAAATCACGTTGTGGAAAACGTTCGATTTCGCGTTAAAGTTGGCGTTCTCGATCGCGCGTCGCGATGCTAGAGCGCGTGTTAGGGCGCGACTAATATTATATAATCGCGTGCTCCGAATTTGAAGGAATATAACATGACATGTTTAAGAAACGCTTCAATGTTTTACTTTCACATTAAACATTGACGGAGTTTCGGCGCCTCTTCTAGGTGTAGGCAAAATTATGAAAAATTCTTTTATTGAGATCAAATAATTCATATCGCAATAACTTTGCTGCCCACTATACTCGAAGGTGAAACACATCCAGGATTGGAAAAGTTAATAGATCTTATAGACCCGGGCTAAAGTAACGATTAAAGTAACAGATTCGTTACCAAATCGTTACTGAAAAAAAAAAAAAAAAAAAAAAAAAAAAATAATTTGTAATGGTAACGAGTTACTTCCCAATCCTAGAAACATTTTACGGCAAGGTTAGTTAATGCGCGGTCCACATTAAGATAATGTCTATTTTAATTCAACGCTCGACTCAACGCCTTGCTTCACGTCGCTTCGAAAGGACGCGTCGCACCGGTCTGCCGAGTTGCGGTAATGAACGGCAGGCAAAAGTGCGTTTTGTTTAATATTCCGAGGCAGGGGTCGGTAAGAATAGCCGGGCGGGGCTCTTTTCTTCCTGGGCATACACGTACGCGGAGATACTCGCGAAGCGAACCGTAACGAAGGTCTCGAAAGAGTTGTCGGCGAGTTCAAAGTATCATCCCTCCGCGCGAGATCGTCGTCAAAGGGACGATGCGCGTGTCTGCTCCCCCGTTTGTGATTTTCACTCGGCTGCCCGTCTCGTACATATTTTCGTACATAGTTTTCACCCTTCGAGACTAGTTAAATTATATGTACATTTACAGTTTTTCTACCGGTCCCAACCAATGCCAACTACGGCACGGTTAGTGCGGGAAAGGCTACAGAAATTTAAGGGTAGACACTTACGATATTCTTTATCGTGTAGAATTTATTTAGGGAAAAAAAGACTGAAAGTCAATTAAACTATGGCTACAATTGATAACAGTAACGTAGTTACTCTTTCGTTTATGGACACAAATAGTAATTTATAGGCTTGTATAAACTTTAGCTATTCTATTGAAAATTTTATAAGACGGTTATTCGAACTTGTCTCTTATTTTTATAATTATTGTAAACACAAATTATTTTTCAATAAAGGGAAGTGAGAGAGGCAATCGGAGCCACGCGCGGTAATTAATGCGCAATCAAATCATTTTTATTTGTTTTCTATATAACGCATCTCAAAATACGCGAAGCAACAATTAAAATTTTGCTAAACTTTATCAAAGAATAAGGTTTTCAATTTAAGATTGTCATTCTACGATAATATCGCAGGATTGGAAGAGCATACAAGTAATATTAATTAAACGTAACATCTTTCAAAATGTTCGTGATGTACCCGCCTGGATTTTTGTGACACTTCCATGCAGCCTTACGAGCCGTGTTCTCAAACTCAACTCGGCAGTCAGCAGTGAAAGATATCGCGAAAGAAATCGCGAAGGGGAATAAAAAGGAGAAGAATAAAAAAAAACAGAAGAAAAGGAAGCGGTGCAGTGCGCCTTCGAGGCGGGGTGCCTCGCGCGTGTTTCTGCGATGACGCGACAGGGGGTTGCGCGGTCCACGACGGGGACGCCGTTTCTGGAGCCTGTAATTTGAAATCTTCTCAGGGAAGGTTGCTCGGGCCCGCTAAGCTACGCGCGTCCCACTGGGGGACCGAGTGAGGAAAAGAGGAAGAGAGACGGGGAAGGGGCGAAAGACGAGAAGGAACTATAACCGAAGTATCCCTCCCGCATGGCCGCAAAGCGCCTCCCTCCATATTCTCGCGCGACAATGCAGCAAACTCTCGAGAAATTCACCCTGCAATCACCCGGCAAAGTCAAACGTTCTCAGGAAGCGACAATGGCGGGGGGCGTTGACGACGCGCCCCGGTACGACAATGAGGTCATTACAAAACGCGGGGCACCGCGATTTCTCGCAAGGTAGCGCCAACCAATATACTCGCCCCTCGCTTGCCGGGGTGAGCACTTAACGCGTCTCATACAGGTCGCTTCTCTCCGACGGCTCTCGTCATTTCGAGAAACGCTTAGCATGCATTCTGCAAATTCATATGAAACATCGAAAATATAAAGCAGGTGACGAAATTTAAAAGCAGGTGAATTAAAGTGCAGAAAGACGAAATAGTAGTATGAATTAAAGTATACTAATTGTTTTAATGTCGATAAAAATACGAAATACCCATTATATGTTTTTGTTTCTAATAAAGAACTTAAATTAAATCTGACTTATCAAATTAAATATAAAATAAGCAAAGAATTTAATACGCTTTTCGGCGATACAAATTATAATATCGTTATACATTCAAAGACGCGTTTGCATTTTTTACTTTCAACCATAGCTTAACTTATATGCTTCTTCATTCTATCTTCTAAAAATTATGTTTATAATAGAACTAAGTTTGTAGTTAATAAAAAAAAAAACGGTAAAGTCGATTCCAACGAATAATGTGACTTTCTATCCTGGAGAATGTAAATAAATCTTTTGTCTATCGATCGCGGAAAAAATGTGACGTTAAGGGGTTAATGTGCAGGAAGGTGGTTGCGTAGCGGCGTTTAATAAATTTTACCGGGTCGGGGCAATTTATTTTCGGCGGATACCGGCGCGAATCGATCGCGGCAACAAATACGCGCAGTGGCGATAGTCATGTAGTAAAGCTCGTTATCGCATTATCTCGGGCACGGACGGTTCCGCCCGGGGGAGAGGGGGGAGGGTAAAAGGAGAGGAGGGGGTCAGGATCTATTCTATGGGGAACTCGCATTTCACGCGGGGGTCCCGCCGTCCGATCGGCTCCATTATGCCATGCGGAGCGTATCGCTCCGTGTATCTATGTGCTCCACTCTGCACGGACGGTGCCGATAACATTGACGTCGCGATAATTTTGTAATATCGTCCGGCGTGCATACGTATTTATGTGTGTGTATGTGCGCGCGCGAGACGCGAGCATACTGGACTGAACTTTATCAAATTTTCGGAATCGCGGAGAATCCGGAAAAATATGATAATAGGCAGGGAGCATTTTGCCTTGTAATTATAATTAAAAGTAAAATACAATGCAAACGATTACATTATTTCGGTTATAATTACAAGCTAAGTTTAGATACGCGGAAGATAATGTAATCAGATCATGTAAAACCCTGCCGTTTCTTTTCCACAGCATTATACATAAATAATCATAAATAATTCTCGAAATTTACGAGTAAGGTTGTATCGTATTTTTTTTCTCATAAAATAAACTATATTATATATATTTTTTTAATTTATGTAATGTATAATGTATTTATCTCGAAAAGTATTTATAGTTTACTTATTTTCTTTCTCCTTCTCCCTTCCGTCCAAAAAAAGAAAAAGTTTTAAAGAAGTTAAGTTAGATTCGACATTTGTTCTTTTATATAGGATCTAATTAATTGCATACTTTGAGTGAATGATTGTCGGAGTTTTTTAATCATAGTCTGACATTAAATAAATTTAGTTTTCTATATGACCGGCTTAATATATCGATGCATGGCAGTGAAATACATGGCAATGATCAAAACGGCAACTCTGCGCGAAGTATTCATGTGTAGATCGAAAGGTATAATACAGCGAGGAGGAAAAGTGACCGTGCCTGAAACGATGGACACGCATACGCATACGCGCACGCCGCGCGACGCGATTCATTCGGTGGCGACAATCCGATAAGGCAGCTTTTAAAGTCCTTTAAAAAGCAATATATCGTGTGTGCCGCGCTGTCAACGGGCGATGAAGGGCGAGACAGAGAGGGTGCTCTCAATAAACGTCCTGCCGAATCCTGCCCGCACGTGACTCCGTTATCCGGCGATCTTAAATACTTGGCCGCGCGCGTGTCGATCATCCCGATCATCGCATTAGCTCTCACAAATGATCCTGCCTGAGAATCATATCTTACGTAGCGATCCTCGCGCTACGACGAAATATACTTATCCGCTATTTTCTTCGAACGACTTCTGCTTTTTTCTTATAAACATTTTTGCTACAAAATATCTCATTCTTAATTCAGTTTTCACAAATTCCATCAAGTTTTTAATTTAAAACTCAGTTACCAGAACGTTTAACGTTGACGTGCAATATGCGAAATAAGGATAAACCAGGTTGGCGTAAATTTAAATGTGTGCGCATACACATTTGTACGTAGCTACTCTTCGTACCTAATCACATATATTTGGCTGTGCGACATGACAAAACGAGAAAAGTCGTCGAAAATAGCGTGGTGTAAAACTGCGATGGGCACAACGACAGTTTCCAAGATCTCTAGGGAGCACAGCGCCGCGTTACAGACAGGCTACGCGAACGCCTGTGTTATGGGGTTGTCAAAGCACCGACAGGATGACATCTCTATTATCACGTACCGACCATAAAGCAGGACGGGCACGAGATAGGGGAAACGGGAGAACGAGAGAGAGAGAGAGAGAGAGAGAGAGAGAGAGAGAGAGAGAGAGAG